ATAAGAACCTCATTCATTTTATTTGTATGACATGTTTGAATGCAATTTTCTCAATAAGTGAAGAAAAATGTTGGTAGTGCTCAACAACACATTGGTAGTGCTCAGCTGAACATTGGTAGTGCTCGGGCACTCCCAGGCCTATACAAAACGACGCCCCTGACCTGACCTGACCTTCAGGTGACCTTGACACCCACCCTAATGCATGGGGGCAAGATAATATCACATGTTTGAACGCTTGAAACCACGAAAAGTCCGCAAACGCGCGGCTAATGCGAGCCGACATACACCGAATCGCGATTTCGGCCAAACATTGTCTGGAAAAGTAGGTCATAGGTCAAAGGTCATTTGGGTCAGGGTCATGAAAGTTTTAGAGTAGGTGTAAAATTGATTAACGCGAGAGTACTGAAAGTTTCGTCGCGATCGGCCGCTTTTACGCGAGTTATTCGCGAAAAACCATGGGGGGGGGGTCCGTTCGACCCCCCAATATGGGCGAGGGTTAAACAGCACATAATTGGATGCTCTAAATTTATTCAAAGTTTCTCCAAACAGTCAAATGGGCAGTACATATTTGATAGTACCTAGGTATTCTGCGGGTTTGGTCGGTATTTGGTTTGGTAAGATGTTTCGCAATAAATTGTAATTGTCATCAATAGCACTCATATTTGGGTAGTCCAGGCGACCTTGGCCTTCCTACTGGTATACTGGAGCCACATGGACGTCTTTTGGAAGGTCTCATGGATGGATTGCAAACAAATATCGCGATGGAATGACAGCAAGATGCCAGCGTGCAGGGCCTATACAAGATTTGATACGCCAGACAGCGACATCTACAGAATGGTTGTAGCGTCCTCTATGTCTGATTATTTATGCTGTTTTGTTGTCCATATTATACCACTTCGGCGAGTGTTAGATGTCTCTTCGTGTTGTGCATTGTTCCACGCAGACGTGCATAGGTCAGCGTGTTTGATCTGTATTCTGTGATCTCATCGAATCTCATTACTATTGGCAGGTCGGAATATATGATCGCTGTACCCTGGACTCTGGAGTCTGAATTACTCGTATCTCTGAAATGATCTGGATATGAACCACATGTAGATCGATATTATAAGGTCCATAGGTATGTGACATTGGCCCAGCAGACATGGCCAAAGTCGTTGCGCGACAATTGTCAATGAATAGGCTACTTATGGCTGCATATTATCTATAAAATTGTCACCACCTAACATTATTGTCGCTGCTGGTTAATTTGAAATGTCAACAAAGCAGCTTTACTGCTCTGTCACCGGTGAAAAATTTAGCTGAGCTGTCCACACTCCCGCCTCCTTTACCTATTCGATCTGACTCCAAATAAATCACATTTGACTTTAAATGTGTCAAGCATAGTTCCAAGAACCCATCATCCTTTCAAATTGCTTTTACCATATCCTTATATTTCAACATACCCTTGCTTTGAACATTCTAAAAATTCATCACGCCTTGTCGCTGAGGAAAACATGTCATCTTCGCTCGTCACACCACTCAGAGGGGACATCCGACAAAATAGACGGATAAAATCAGATAGGCCGGCTGACACTGTAAAATGCGCTGAAGATGATGGTCTAGGACATTGGCCGTGAGTTAGACTAATCTCCGTGAGGAGGCAAACTCGCTCAAAATCACGGCATAGTTGACCTAGTTACGGAGCGAGCGAAGCGAGCGTAGTCTTTCCTTAGATTAACGGAAATTTCTGAGTATGAGCGGCCGGCCGGCCGGCCGTGGTCACGCTTTTGCGAGGCTTATATCTCAGCAACCACTTGACCGATTTACACGCGGTAATTTTTGCAGGGTAGCTTCATTCCTTCTACCAAGTATTGGACTATTCCCGATGCATATGGGTGACCCCTTATGCACGTGCCACGTGCAAAACGAAGAGGTGTCAGTTTTGTAATTGTTGCAATATCTCGGTAACTACTTGGCCGATTGCGCTGAAAGTTGGCATGAAGGTAGGCACCCACTAGGCACTGCATATCCATGTGCCAGAGTTGGGGTGCTGCTGCACGTGCGCACGTGCAGGGGTCGTTTCCAGATCTCGAGAACGGCTGGACCGATGGCGCTCAAATTTGGTACACGGTTAGGGACCAGTTAGTAGGGTGCCGTGCACAAGTCAGTTGGGACCCATTTTGCATGTGCGCACGTGCAGGGTGCCGCTCCCAGATCTCGAGAACGGCTGGGCCGATTGTGCTCAAATTTGGCACATCGCTAGAAACCGGTCAGTAGGGTGCCGTGCACAAGTCAGTTGGAGGTACCCCCTCGAAATTTCGCACGTGCAAGACTCACCCCCTCGCTCGCTCCGTTAGTCGCCCCAAAAGGCGCTATACTGGTAATCTTGAGTTGACCTGCGGATTTACGATATATTGCGCTTGACGTTGCGGTATATGATATGACATTATGGTGGTGTTGGAAAGATGCTTTCGGTGAAGCGGGCTCCACGCATGTGCCTCATGTGTTATGTAGGCACACAATCACGATGCTATGGCGTTGCAAGCAGTTGTGTTCAATTCGTTGGAGCTAGCATGAGAAGCGCCTTTTCACCGAAAATAGCTGAGAAACAAATTATTGCATTACCTGCAAAGCGTTGCTTGCCTAACTTCTTAGCCTTTTCGCCTAGCAGTGTGAGAGAGAGGGAGGAGAGAGAGAGAGGGGAGAGAGAGAGAAAGAGAAAGAGAGGGATGGAGAGAGAGAGAGAGAGAGAGAGAGAGAGAGAGAGAGAGAGAGAGAGAGAGAGAGAGAGAGAGAGAGAGAGAGAGAGAGAGAGAGAGAGAGAGAGAGAGAGAGAGAGAGAGAGAGAGAGAGAGAGAGAGAGAGAGAGAGAGAGAGAGAGAGAGAGAGAGAGAGAGAGAGAGAGAGAGAGAGAGAGAGAGAGAGAGAGAGAGAGAGAGAGAGAGAGACTGATAAAGATTAGTCATCTGAATTAGTTTTCTTGTTCGCCTTCTTTCCCAGATAGACAACAATGACCGACGTAATCTCCATGGGGCGAGTCGGCAAACTCAATAAAGGAGTCGCCCTCTCTTCCGCACACAGCGTGACGCAAACACAGAGCATTCATCACTAAATGGCTGTTGTTCTCTGCCTGTCGTTCCTTCTATCTGACCGTAAGATGGAGAGAGAGAAGAAATGTCAGAATTTAGCTGAAAAGCGACCATCAAAAGCGGATAGATTACGTGCAAGTCTTGACTTACTCGCGCTCAGCTATTTTGTCAACTTTTCCACTAAGAGATTTTAGAGAGAATAAATAACATTACGCCAGAAAACGACGGTCGTCGACACTCGATAACGATCACTTTTTGTGACCGAATTGTGGACAGACATGAATTGATAAGACAGACAGAAAACTACATCGGAAAAGATAAATAGGGTGGCGTGTGGACTCACTTCTTTCCTCGAAGTGATCCAATCGGACGACTGCCACAGAGTGAACTAAGCAGTTCTAAAAGTATTTATTATCCTATAACATATGTTACAACCGAAGAAGGTGAAATGTGTAGAAAAGATAAGGAATGCAATAATAAATCATCAATGTCAGTTAGCACTACACCAGAACATAAAGTGTGGTCAATTGAATAGTAGAAATGCAATGCAACATCACTAACACTTGAAATTAAAGAAGAATACAAGGCAAACGAAACAAGCGTGTGCTAGATAATACCGGTATTAATTCGCGGGTGAATAACATCTACCCAGCTCCACATAATTTATGCAGCAGACGGCTCCTGGCCGAGCCGCTGCAACAGGCACTCCCACTCGAGGATGAGTCCGACTTTTATACTGTCTGGTTGTTGATAGTGACACTTGACATACTGATAGACGACCTTGAGTTGACATGGCTGATTGCTGTAACATCTGTACAGGTTTTCTATGAGTAGCCAAACAGCAAATGGGCGCGAATAAAAGTTTCTGAGTGAAAAACGATAGCGATTATGATTGTTGCAGATATTAACGCACAAGACAGAACTCGCAACGTTGCAAGTAATCAAGTTTTTCACCGAATTGAAACCGTTTGACCAGTCGTATCCAAATGCATGAAAACAATTTCGAGTAGTAATTTACAGGGGAAGTTTCGGGAAGATGAAACTTGAAGATATAATCTTTATTATCCATCGAACAATACTGCGATGTGCTGACATGTTATAATCGCAACCAGATATCACATAACAATAAATTTTCTAAAACTTTTTCAGTACCTATTTTACAAGAAAGAACAAAAGGCAGACGTAATTAAAAAACTGGCATGTGCACAAGCATCACGTGTGTATTTGCTGTGACCTTGGAGAGCTATCGGATGACGCATTTGGCGGTAATCTGGCGAACCTCTCGACTGACTGTAGCGATGGGACAGGTAGTGAAGCACCGCAGACCACTGACCGTCTGAGAACTGACATGAGCGATCATCCCACGCACCTGACCTGTCGCAAGTCGTCTGGCTCTCTAATACAGTGGAGTCATCTTTCATTGCAACAATTTCTGGTTGAATTTAGGAAGTCGGTAAGGACCATGATGGCTAGGGAAGAATCGAAGAAGACCGGCTGTCATTGGAGCCTGCAAAATTGAAATCACCCTAACACAACCTCTGACCCGAAGTGCATACCCACGTTGAGAGTTTACAACTCTCCGATCAAAGTCCGAAAGTCATGGGCCTGCCCTGTCCGGACTTTGGACATTGTTCGACATTTTATTGCCACCATAACCCTCGACCATCCGCGATAACATTCACAGACAACCAAACAGAAATTCAGACGATCCCTTTTCTTCCTTCTACAACCTACCAACCTAGCAAAACGGAGCCGGGTGACTACTCCTCATCCGTCTGTAGTCCGTTGCGCCATCGTCGACTCTGATTCGGTCACCCATCGAGCTGGTGGCCTCTGACGCACCTGAGGCCACGCTCGCGCTTTATCGGTCCACTGCGATAGCTCTCCATGAGAGATCGATGCCGTCCGTGTCCGGAGTATGATAAGAGCGTCAGTGTCGCTGCGGGTGTCGCCGTGACCTGTTATAGCGTGAGCGCTCCCTTCAGAGACCGACGTCCAGGGCTGTGACGTAGCCTGTGACGTCACTGACACGGGTGACCCGGCCGGGGTCAAATGGAGGCGGAGCCTGAGCCGAGAGCCGCGCGTGGCACGTGATTGGTGATTGGAGAGTTTTTGGTGACGCGAGAGACTGCCACGTGGCTACGGTACGTGCATGCACGTGCGCCACGTGCACGAAGGGTGATTCCAAGACCGACAAGAGAGGTGTTGATTTATGGTCGCCTCTTTTTTGTAGACTGTGCTAGTGAAAAAGAACAGTGAAAAAAGCTGGAGGGGTGAACGCAGGCAGTTGCAGCAGCGTGCAAAGTGATCTTAGCAGATTTGGTGCAAAACCTGTACAACGGTGGTCATTTGTTCAGCGCAGAACTTCTTATCACTCGGGCTCAAGGTGTGCTCAAGACATTTTAACGAGGAAGATCGAACATCGGTGGTGTCTGGCAAAAGGAACGTCGCTTAACATCTTCGTAGCCTTATGACAGGTAAACGCACGGCTAACTGATGTTCTCATTCATTCATTCACTCATTTATTCATTCATTGTTAATCAGTTATTGGGTCATGTCATTTAGGTGTCATCAAACACACTGCAGAAGAATAGAACAAACATACTCTCAACAAGGACACTGTTAAATGGAGTTGTTGACTCATTATGTCTAACGTGCTCTAAAGTTTGAATTAATGCAGCACAGCTGGGACCCGGTTCGGTATTTAGACCCAGTTGTTAAACGCGCTGGTGGCTCTAATGGAAAATCAGCGCTGCGTGTGAGCAAAAGCTAGCACTCCAGCTGTCTGACGTGTACATATTACCTTATGATATTCCTTGTATCATTTTTGCAACTGAAATCAACAAATTAGTGAGGAATTCGAATTAAGAGGCACAATGCACCCTCAAAAGACATGTCTCGTGTCATTGAATGATTGCTAGGTGAATGGGTCCTACTGGATCATCTCTCATTTTGAGTGAGCCATCACAGAAAACAAGGGCAGACAACATACAATAATAGGTACATCCATTTCAAGCTTTGCTAATATAAACTCATATTTCTGGATTTTACCTTCTTTTTATCTGTCACGCTGCGTAAGGATTGTTATGCATTGTTTAACAGCATGATTCCTAATCGTTAGGACGCTATTGCTCCGTGGCATGACCTGACCCGATTTATTTTCATTCACGTGCAGTGAGGAAGGAGAGCGAGAGCGAGAGAGAGAGAGAGAGAGAGAGAGAGAGAGAGAGAGAGAGAGAGAGAGAGAGAGAGAGAGAGAGAGAGAGAGAGAGAGAGAGAGAGAGAGAGAGAGAGAGAGAGAGAGAGAGAGAGAGAGAGAGAGAGAGAGAGAGAGAGAGAGAGAGAGAGAGAGAGTTTGACAGTTTGACAGTTCGACAGTTCGGCCGCCGCACCGCCTCGAAGGCAGTGCCGACAGGACTCTATAGCCAAAAGTGGCATGAAGCGACAGATAGTATGTGACGCACAAAACAATGCGCTATCAGTGCCGCAGATAAGTCTGTACCGTCTGACCCCGACTGTGGGTGACCTCTGCTGGCCCCACAGTGGCGAGAGAGGCATCACAAGGCAGAAAGCACTGACAAGAACATGATAAATCAGATACATCGGCTACATCTTGGGATACATTACACAGCTTGCAAGGGAGGGTTTTAGCAAACCAACTACCGAACTTCCAACTACTTGTATGATCTTTTGCTGGGCACGAGAAGTTCTTAAAAGTTCTCGCTATCGGCGCTTTCCTAACGTGCGCAACTAATGCGTCAAACCAACAATACAAAAAAGGTGAAATAAAAGCACTATCTTCACACGAACATGACACGTCATCACAGCGCACAATGGGGCATTCCACGATAGATCGACCAAAAATGAATAAAATTTACACCCTCATATTTTATTTTTTGCTTAAAATTGGTCTAATAGGTTGTGATGGGCGGGGAACCCAGCTGTGGCAAGGATTTTTTTCTTCGAACAACGGTTTCCGAGATATAGCCTCGGGCAGTTCCTGGAGGTCACACTGCAACCCTATGTTTGGCGGCTTATAACTCAGAAACTATTGGTTTTCTATGGTAAAAACTTTATATGGTTCAACTCGCAATCAACCAACAAACGTTTTGGCTATCTCGGATTTTCGATTTTTGAAAATTTTGATCACGTGACATCTTGACCTTTTTTTCGAAGAGTGACCTTGATATTATCCCAACTGAAAGTCGCAATTTTGTCTGATGACGATTAAAGCCTTATCAATTGTCATTCATATGCGATAATAAAAAAGTGGCTTTCGGCCTGCGTTGACCTCAGGTCAGGTCATTTTTATGACCTTCCCATTATTACGAGCGGGAGCGACAGCGAGATCTCGAGCACAAAGCAAGATAGCGACAAGTGGTAAACGGCACAAAGTACACATGGATAAGGTCTACAATTTTTACTCAGGTCATTTTCAGGTCAGGTCAAAGATGACGTCACAGGGGTAAAAAGAAAGTCTAAATGGCGGCACTACATATATATGAAGTTTTTCTCGAATAACTTTTAAAGTATTCCAGCTAGGAACAAGCTAATAGCACCATCGTGATCCTCTCGTCGATCCGCATCGAAACATGTGTATGTTGACCTTGAAAGGTCAAAGTCAAAAGTTGACCTTAGGTCACGTGACCTTAAGGTCATCATATATATCATTCGATGGGTCTTGACGAGCTGAACACAATGAGCCTATCCGCGCGGCTGTATCTCAAACCTGTAGGGAGTTATTAGCAAAAAAACTTTTGGTGACCTTTAATGACGTCACATGGCCCAAGAGCAACGTCACAGTTGACCAAGAGCAAAAAAGGTCTCAAGGTAGTCAAAGTTAGTCGTATATGAAGTCACTCATGGTATATTAGGCAATTCCGACGCGTTTTAGTGTAAAAACAAGGGAGCTGATTTTTCCCCAATTGACTTATAATGGGGTGGTCAAGAAATTGACCTGATCTTAGGTCATCGGTATTGAAATTCAAAACGAACTGGCGCTAGGCGAAAGCAAACACAATGGTGCCTGTTCCACGTCTCTTTCTTTATTAGATCAAAAGGTACAGCCAAAACTATTTTGACTTCCTTTTTACCCCTGTGACGTCATCTTTGACCTGACCTGAAAATGACCTCCGTAAAAATTGTAGACCTTATCCGTGTGAATCCTGTACCGTTTACCGCTTGTCGCTATCTTGCTTTATTCTCGAGATCTCGCGTCGCTCCCGCTCGTAATAATGGACAGGTCATAAAAATGACCTAACCTGAGGTCAACGCAGGCCGAAAGCCACTATTTTTATTTGCGCATATGAATGACGATTGATAAGGCTTTAATCGTCATCAGACATAATTGCGACTTTCAGTTGGGAAAATATCAAGGTCACTCTTCGAAAAAAAGGTCAAGATGTCACGTGATCAAAATTTTCAAAAATCGAAAATCCGAGATAGCCAAAACGTTTGTTGGTTGATTGCGAGTTGAACCATATAAAGTTGTTACCATAGAAAACCAATAGATTCTGAGTTATAACCCTCCAAACATAGGGTTGCAGCGTGACCTCCAGGGATTGCCTGAGGCTATATCTCGGAAACCGTTGTTCGAAGAAAAAAATCCTTGCCACAGCTGGGTTCCCCGCCCATCACAACCCATTAGACCAATTTTAAGCAAAAAATAAAATATGAGGGTGTACGGCTTTGGTCGATCTATCGTGGAATGCCCCACCTCTAGCTACACACTCCGTCTCACACTAAAAACCAGCGACTCTGGTAAAATCCTCAACTCTTTCTCAGTCGCACGCCTCGGCAGCCGTGCGGACCTTGTGCAGTGAACGGTTTCACTTTCATACGCCGGGTAATGTGGCCGGTAAGGCTGGATTGGGTGGTTTTAATCCCTTCTCATTGCTAGCCTTGAAGGCTCTGCACCGAGAGACGAGCCGGTGACGACATCGACCACGGGTCGAGACGAGGTTATATCGAGAAGCGAGGGTGAGTTTAGGCGGACCCCACCATGGTAAATTATCGAAATTATTGGACAGATATCGCGTTAGGAGCACCTAGTAGAATTTAGATTCTTGTTTCACGATAGGCGTTATCACAAGTGTATTCGCGGCCATTGGGGCGACGTAAGAAAAGAAGAAAACAACTGGCCCCAAGAACTTTAAATTATCAGTTAGCATGCACCTTTTCCTTGATATGTAGATAATTTACCATTCATTGTTAGAGAAAATTGCATTTAAAATCTTCCATTTATGTTTTTTTCATCGTTTGCACAGTATGTTCTTTTACTAAGCTAGAAACACTAATTAGAAATAGTTCCCGCATCATCAAGAACAATAGGGAAGGCTTGAAGTGAATACAATAATCTAAACGGTTTTGTAATCCATGTGAAGACACTTCTAAAATTGCCTGTAGAAATATTAAAGGCAAAAGTTCAACTTTTTCACAAGACGGATGGCTATAAACATGGGCGGCGCCACCGGGGGGGACGGGGGGGACAGGTCCCCCGCTATCGAAAGTTAGGGGGGTACAGTACCCCCCTATCGGCGATGCCCGTTCAATAGTTGATAATAATGCATTATAAAGCTATCCGTCGCATTTAATGCATCGTTGGTTAATCAAGGCAGGTTCTGAATAAAGATTGCTGTTGGGATGCACCGCAGGGGGTCCTGGCCATCTGCAAAAGGTGTGGAGCTGTGATGCCTGTAGTTATAAGGTGATCGGCAGGGCCTCGGGGATCGTGCCCCCTTTTTGGGGCGCCAGGCAGGGTTATTACTTATTACCTCCCCACCCCACTGCCAGACCCCATTGCCGATAAAGCCAAGTTCACTGAAATTCCATAGATATCCGTTACTATATGAAAATTTTCCATTCCTAATTAGTCAAATTCAAGCATGGCAGTTATACCAAAGGAACCATTTGAAATCTATGCCATTTAACCCCAGCACTTGTGGGGAGAAGTGTTCGGATAGATCACAGGCAGGACCAAAAAAGCACGCAGTAGCCCAGGACCTTATAATTGGATATAGCATCGGCTCCCTCTCGTCAAGGGGTTCGATAGCACTCGTTTTTTTTCTGCAAAACTAAGTTCGGTCGGCGGCCGAACGGCTGGGGGTCTAATCGAGCCCCCCATCCCTCCCCTTCTTACGTCAGCGGCTGTGAAAATGCCATTACCAGCTGTTGAAACATGGCAGTTGCTTTTGCATGAGTGCACGAAAGGGTTTTAGGTCCGTGATACGTGAAAGGTTCTACATGAAAATTGAGATACACCAGCTTATCAAATTGTGCTCACTGTGGTGCGCTCGGTTTTACCTGGACTAGTCTTTGAATTCTGGGGTGAAACAGACCAGTCAAGAAACCTGTTCCATAAGGAGAGCCACTAAATGCTAAAGAGATGTGGGATGAGGTTTCCAGAGACCTTCATTACCTCCCAAAGGGGGTGCCCCGCCATTTGCCAATCCCTGCTGTAGTTGTTACGATTGGAGGG